TGAAATGGTTAGTGCCAAATTTAATCAGACATGGAGAAGATTCTGATGTCACAGCTCAAGAGATGTACTAACCAGAAACCATCAAGCAGTGAAAGGTCTGCAGCTCATGAAAACACAGAGATGCGTACCAGAATTTGGCACCAGAAAATTCTGAGCATGTACTCCAGCCCTGCAAACTGCTAACAGAGAAACAATCTGGCATGGTTCCAACCTCAATGAAGACAAAGCTGTATAGTACACACTGAGATATGTGCTGGACAATAGCTTTCATCAAGGCTACCGGTCCCTTGGTATATATTTTCTGACAGAAAGATTGAAGAAGAAGGGAAAAAACAATAAACCACTGCCACATAAGACAAAATTCTGCCACATTTAATCCTTACTGCACTCTGCTTTGTAAATATATAAAACACCATATAAAAAATGTAGCAGTTTCTGGGGGACACCTGAGGGCACTGAAACAGCATTAGAAAACATTTTAGGTATTGATCAGCACATGTAAAAGCACATAAATGAAACAGAGATGTGATAACAGACAAGGGAAAATATACAAATACACAAATAAAAAACTAAAAACTATGGTGTGGTCACAAAAAACTTGACTTATAAATGACTTTATCCCACTGAGTTTACTGAATAACAAACAAGCCACAGAAAACAGTGTAAATCTTCTTTACTATTTTGTTGTTGCTATAATTACACTGTGAACGTAATAGCTGCAGTATTTGAGACTTTCAGCTGACACATCCTTCTTTGGCCATCTGTTGATGTAATCATTATCATCAAGTGCCTTGCATAGACGTTCATGCATCTCCACAGATCTCGGTCTTTGTGTTCTGGATTAATTCCACTGATGATATTCCTCCATGCCACTGCCTCAAGCCATCCACCTTTATTTCTCTGGGTCTGCCTCTGCCTCTTCTGCCAGTATTCTTTCCAGTCATCGAAATATTTCCGGTGCTTCTTTTCTCATCACATGACCAAAGAATCAGTGTTTACTATCATTAGCATTTCCAGGCAATCATTGTTAGTTATTCTGGCAGTCTAAGGTATTCGCAACATTCTTCTCAAGATCACATCTAAGGCGCCTCCAAACTCTTCCTAATTTGTTTGCTTACATTCCAAGATTCACTGCCATACAATAGAATAGGCTCGACATAATATTTAAGTACTCATTTTCTGATGTTTCATAAGAGGTTTTTTTTACATATTACATCTGCTGACATACTGTTGAAACACAGAATGTTTATAACTGCTTGGAAAGGAAAGATAGGAGGAATCGACCTGGTCATCCTAAGATTATATAATGAACAAGAAACTTCACACTATTCTCCATCATCAGTATCTATCATGGAAGTATTTTTACCTACACCTTTTACCCATCTCCAGAACATCAAGACTGAATCTATGGAGAGACATCAATACCTAAGCCACCTGGCAAGGCGCATAGCGGTGATGACAACAATGTCAAGTATCTATCTCAACACACACACTTGTATGTTTACACTGACATTATTTCCACTATAACAATTATCTTTAAAGAAAAGGCACAGAAAGATGTTATACAAATAATTATCATCATCAGTAGCAGGTCTTTTGCAGAATGTCGATCTCATCACGGTCTGCCTGAGAGAAACTTGGTCAGCTCTCCTGCCTCATGCACTTTCATATTCCAGGAGTCACTTATATCCTATGCCCGTCTTCGTGTTGGTTGGCCCCTGCCCCTCCTTCCTCCTGCTATTATTTTTTTCAAATCTGCTATGGCACTTGATATGACCAAAATATTTCAGCTTCTAAGACAAGATGCTATTTATTAGCCAATCTTCCTTGATGTTCAGATCTTTTAAAATGTCAGTATTTCTTCTCTTCTTTGTCCATGATATAGTGGGAATCTCTCTACAGCATTTCAGCTCAAAAGCCCCTATTTTCTTTTTTAAGGACTGGGAAATATTTCACAACTCACATCCGTGTGTTTCTACAAGGAAGATACATGCTCTCAAAATTGTAATTAAACAAATAATATACAGATTAAATGTTATAATATGTATACAGTGTAGAATTTTGTAAAAACAGCAATAAGATAACAATACCATGTAGAAAGTATATCAATAACAGGTACAAACAAAAAAGGAATGGCACTGATGGTACTTTAAAATGAAATTTTGTCAATGACTCATTTTTTTAAAGCAAGCATATTTGATTAAAAAAAATGTTCAGTAACATAATTCTAATATTTACAAACATAAAATCATGCTCAAAGAATGGGATTATTCCGTAGCTCCAGTGATAATAAGAATGAGCAAAAGTAAATGGACTCAGTACAACAAAGCCTAGATTTGATTCAAGATCTAGTCTGAGAATGTAGGTGGAGGCAGTCACAGCAGCTTTTCACTGGCTTGACAACCAGCTGCACACACAAGTTGTTATTTTAACAGAGTCACAAAGCATGCTGAGAAAGGTGGAGAAAGGTACGCTTTGTTCAGAGTGGCAAACATCACTAAAGAGGTCCCTGGCAGTTAGCATTTTTTCAGTTTTTTTTTCTTTAGGTCATGCAGCTGAACTGGGAAATGAACAGGCAGACATACTGGCTGGTGCTGCTCAACTAAGGGGTGGCTTGATGCAAAACAAGCCAGATGTGATCAAGACTCTTCTTTTAGCAACTGAACAATCCAGACATGAATAGGTCATTACAGTGTAGAGAGAATGGTGTGGAAGAGGGTGACCAGGATCTGGCCAACACTCTAAACTCGGAGGAAAGATGAGATAGACATATAATCAAGATGGAACTTTTCACTGGTTGCTGAAGATAATGCCAGAGTGCATATGAAAATTCCAGACAGCTGTGATGTCGGGAGATGTGAACCAACGTTACTGCACACGGTTATAAACTATAAGTGCTCTGCCACCAGTCAGTAAGGACAGCCGATAAGAAACTGTCCACCTGTGTCGCTGTCCGCACGCAACTCTATAGCTACAGCGACGTTCCTCCATTTACCCCAAAGTGTCAACTCTGGTACCCATTTCCTAGAGGCTGGGTGAACCCTGGGAACCACCCAGTTTCGAACACCGTCCGTGGGCTGCAGCGAGTTGCAGCTGGATTTGAAAGTGACTCTCCTATCGACTGCGCTAATGCGGCCCCCTTGTGGGAACAGGATGTATATGGAGTAAGAAAATCAGAAATGAAATCAGGTGAAAATAACTGCAGACAGGTTGAGAGTAAAGCATCTGAAGAAGAAAAAAAAACATCAAATATATTTAATGGCAACAATGATCATGAAACCCCATGGACTTATTGTGGAAGACTTATTACAACTGCATCATATAATGGCATAACAGGATGATATGGTGCAAGGTATATAGCCTAGGTGACAAGTGGTAGTGTAAAAAGGTCGAGGAACCAATGAGTCTAATGAATTAGGTAAAATATAACTAAAATACAATAAAAACAAGCATGCCAAATTGCTTTACATGTTTAACAACAATCACTCACTGCAGTAGGGAAGAAAATGAAGCTTTTGAAGCATTATCATTATTTCATAATATTATTGTTCTATCTCCGTTTCTTAAAAATCTGTAAGCAGCACAAGTCTGAAATAGTTACTAATAGCGGATCAGACAGAAATTCGTCTTCTGTTTATTTTTATATCACAAATTTATTCATTTTATATAAGTGATGAGGGAAATGGTGGTTACTGCAGTCAAGCTGATATCATGAAGTAACTTTTAGCACAACCAAATGCACAACAGAGAGAAAGGACAAGCAAGATGTGCATAAGTGCAACTGATATAGGTAGGTAGGTAAGTTGTACCCCACCAGGACATCACACAAGCGATAAACACCAGGTGACACAAAGTGCCAACATGCAGATGAGGATCACCTGTGAAGAAGTCCTGGAAACCCCGTTCAGTCATATTTAAAGCCCGGCTATATTTAGGGCCCGCGGCAAAAGCCAGGGTGGGGCTTCAAAATAACTGAAAATTGCATCCATCCCGCATAGGGACGACAATTCATCTAAGCAACTGAACGTTTCAACCAGTCTTAAGCCAAAAAAAAACACAGGAAAGCTGACTTGTAGGATAACTGTTCTGCATTCCTTCATCTAACTTGTTTCAATTTTCTTATTATTTGTGTGTGTGTGTGTTTTTCACTGACCTAATTTTCACATTGTTTTCCTTCAACATTTGTGTCTTATTTTGCAGTAGCTCTTTTTGTCCCTGTTTTTCATATTTCTGTTGTATTTACCTTTCCAGTCATCTGTCTCTTTAATTATGATTTCAGTTGTTGTGTTTGTTAATAGATACTTTAGTTCTTCTTCTTCTTTGTGTTCACTGGCTGTAAACTCTGGCAGAAATTTCTGGTTGTTCATCCACTTCTGGACTGCACTCCTGTTCCAGAACCTGAGTGTTGCGCATGCATCCGTTTGACAGATCTGACTAATGTGTATGCAGACTGTTGGTTCCTGGCCTCTCAGGCAGATGCACTCTGACTTCGAAGGAAGCTCTTAATTAGTCGACTCTCACGACATGCTTTTGGGTAGGCAGTGGGTCTGTTCTTGTTTTCCCTATAACAGGGTCTCAGGACCCACATGGGGAGATAATGTAGTTGAAATATTTCACTGTCTTTGCACATATGATCCCACTGCTGCAAATGACCTAGTCAAGGTTTGTGTTGTGTTACTTCCTAATTTTTCGTATTTGTTTCAAAGAAGATATGTTGGCCTGAAAGTCATGGATACTGCAGCAAAGCTCTAAACCATGACACAATATGTCAACTACTATTATAACGGCAAGCACAGCAAAGAAGAGGAAATATGCAGTTTTTTGTTGTTGTTGTTGTTGCAGTAGCCTTCAACTTGTGTCACCATATGGTTGAAAATATTTCCAAATTACATTATTTCTTACACATGTTGTTTCATTCTGTTTTCTTTGTAACACACACACACACACACTCCATTAGTACATAAACATACAGCAGAAATAACATTAACACTTGCATTTGTCTAAAAAATTCTGAATATACTTCTTGATTTTTGTGTTTCCGTCTTGTTCTCCTTATAAGAAAACAATTCATCTAATTGCTGCTGTAGTTCTTTAATTTGTACTTTATGCGTCTCTTTATTTGTTTCTAATTCTTTTATTCTGTTAATTATATCTAACTTTTCTTGCTTTAGTTTCTCTTCTTTTGCAGCCTCTTTCCTTGCCCCTCGCTGATACTCTGCAAACAGGACCAGCGAGGCAAAGGAGAATACTAAGAATTCTCCAAGCATCTCTCCACCTAATTCAATGGCATCTTTCTCGCTTAGTTTTACCACATTTTCAGCAGTTCCTAACCCCATAAGACGCATTCTGAAGTTGACCTCAAACCAGTGGTAAACTGTGAAAAGAAAAAGGAAAAGTTGTTAAACTGTACTTAATGTTACCAATGTTAAAAACAAATGGAATAGCTTACCTAATATATACGGATTAAAAAATTACATTTCTTGGTTTCTATACTAAAACTAAAATTCTACTCTGATGCAGATTTGAACCAAACACCTATCACCCACAAAGAGAAGCTAATACTTAGATGTACACGTTAGCAGTAATAATGTACATCAAATTTGTAATATATCACATTTATACAGCAGAATAATTCTAATTACTATATGTTAGCATCTAAACATACTGCTCTGTTAAAATGCTTACAGACAAGTTAAAACTACAGAAAAATGCCGTCCTAAAAGTTGAGAATATGTCAGACGGAACCGTCGTATAATTTATTATCATCAAGTCAGTAAACTTACACTGAGCAGGGGGGATGCAGATATATTTCCGAAATATAGGACTTGACTTAGCCTGTCGTTTTATATGATTAGCTAAAGGTTTACTAATTTGCTTGATCGCGAGATATCCCAGCTTAAACAGTGGAAAGCCAGCCATTGCATCGGAAAGGTCACATTTTTCTAGTCGTGTGTCGGTGACGTACTGATAACATGAGACTATAGTCGATCTACTTAAGGTTATCGTCTTGCGCATTTACCATAAAATTGAAATTAGTTAGTTAGTTAGTTAGTTAGTTAGTTAGTTGGGTTATCCTCATTGCACTCCGGACATGTCCATAGGTGCTCAGATCCTCCCCTCAGTATGAACCCCAACGTCCGATGGCTAATAGTACCAGTTCTATGTTGATTAACAAGTCTTCTGGCGTAGCTGTTGTGCGTCTCGTTTTTTGCTGTGCCGATCTTAATTCCCAAGTCTGCCATTCTGGCGAGTGATGTGGATTCACTGCCACCAAAGTCGTCTATCCTTCCCATTTCTCTGAGGGCATTGATAATATCAGCATGATCCATAGGCTGACCGTCGGTAGTGATAGCGGATCCAGCCAACCTGTCAGCTCTTTCATTTCCATCGACGCCTGCGTATCCCGGAACAAAAATAAAGGTGACTCCACGGACAGTGGACTTCTGTAATGATTCAAGCCATTGTCTTCGCACTGAACCTGCCTGAACCCTCCGGATCATACTCATTGAATCACTGAGTATACACACGCGGGTGTATTTTTTGTGTTTCAAGCCAGGCAAGCGCTTGTGTCACTGCCATCACCTCCATCGTCATGCTGCTGGTTGTCATGGAGAAGGCGCCGTTGGCTTCTTTGACTGTTCTGCCCGCTGAGCGTGCTGTAAATGCCCATGCACTTCTTCTTTGGCGTATAACGGATCCGTCTGTATAGATTATTGCATCTGCTTCGTCTGAATTTTCACCGATGAGAGCGTTGACCTCTGCATTAACAGCAACAGGATTCTCTTCTCTACATCGCCTGTTGAGTGTGACAATACAGGAAAATGTACAAATAAACGCCTGAGGCACAGGTATCCATTCTGCACCAGGTATGATATCGGTTAGGCTGCATATTTGCCTAATAACATCTTCTGCCCGACCTAGCCACGATTTCCCCCTCTTCAGTCTGTCGCCCTTTTCACTAAAAAGCGCTTGATGCAGTGGGTGTTTCTTATCAGCACATATTTTGAGATATGCCCAAGCCCTCCACATCCGGATCCTTTGGTTCATTGTTGGAAAGTCAAGTAGATACCTCATTGCTCCACAGGATGTGTCTCTAGTACATCCCAAAATAATGCGCATGGCTTCATTTTGCACCTTTTCGAGTCGTTCAATCTGGGTAGCACTGACAGTGAGGATGGCCAGAGCGTATTCAATGGGGGAAAGGACCAGACCGTAGAATAGAAGTATTAGTAGTCTTTGCTCAATGTTGGAAGCAGCCATAATCCTCATTGCAGATAGACCTTTGCGTGCTTTTGTTATCACATAGTCAACGTGTTCCCTGAATGACAAGCTGCGATCGAACCTCACCCCGAGAAACGTCATAACGTTGGTTCTGATCAATACATTATCACGCATTTTCACTTCTGGTAAATCCGACTTGACAATGTGATTGTTCAAAGAGAACCATGACACAGATGCCTTCGAAGGATTGACATAGGCATTGGAACCATCACACCAGGCGGCAATTCGATCGAGTTCTTTGTGCATAGTGATGGCGATCTCCTGTCTATCACGCCCTCGTCGATAAATCAAAATGTCATCAGCAAATGACAAAGTCCTCCCCTTTCCATTCAACTGCTGCTCAGTGATCATCACCGTATAAACGTTGAATAAGACTGGTGATAGCGGTGATCCCTGTGGCAAGCCTGGACATATCGTTTGCGGTTCTGAGGACCAGCTACCACATCTTAGTACAATCTTTCTCTGGAACAGGACCGCAGCAATCCAGCGGATCAGAATAGGATTAACTTCTAGTTTAAGCAGTAATTGCATTAAATAATCGTATGGTACTTTATTGTAGGCATCTTCTAAGTCCAACACTGCCGCACATGTCTCTTCTTTAATCTGAAATCCCTCGTACACATCGTAGGCGAAAACTGCAGCATTGAACCATGTCTCTTTATTTAACCTGTACCCTCCAAGTGTTGGTGGGAACTTATCATGTAGTTCCAAGTAGGTGGTCAATCTTTGTGCAACAATTTTTTCCAAAAGTTTGCCAACAGTATTCTGCATCGAGATGATTCTGTAGCCGCAGATCTTCGAGTGGTCTTTATTAGGCTTTGGTAGTGGGAACAAATAACTATGGAGCCATTCCTCTTGTATCTGGCCACTCTGGATGCTGATATTGAATTCCTTTGCCACGCTTTTCAAATCAGCATTCGACATCATCAGCATGTCGTTGTATCGGATGCCGTCAGGGCCTGGAGCAGTGCTGCGCGATTTCTTGAGGCAAGTTCTTAAGGTATCTGCAGTGATTGTGAGATCAGTGCCTAGCACAGTGTTCTCGCACAGCATCGACAGTTTCATCTTAACCCCCATTCTTGTAGCTTCGTCTTTTTGGTCAGTTTGCTCTAAGTAGCGCGCCAGAAGGGTTTTTCCTTTATCAGCATCAGTTCTCTGCCATATCAGGTCTGTACCCTGAAAATCAGGGATACCCCTTGGTCGTGCGGCACCGTGCATGCTCCGTTGAAGGCGCCAGAATGTCACAAGAGATCCCTCGGAGCAAACGCTCTTGCAGAATTCGTTCCATTTCGCTGTCTTAGCTTCCTTCGCAATTAACTTGAAAGCCACTGTCTGCTTGTTGACCTCATTTTTCAGACTGATCAGGCGTTCAGAAAGTGACGGATCAATTTTCCTTGCCTTTTGCCATGCCTTGACAGCTTTCCTTTTTTCTAGCCACGCCATGTTGACTACTTCATTCCACCATTGAAAATTGAAAATCAACTGGTATCGTTTTGTCAAAAATTTCAAAGTAACAATAATCTATCTATCTATCTATTGTCTTCTTCACTTTTACCGGGTTGCAGCCCAGTGTCGTGGTTTAAAATATTTGTTTTGTGCCTCTCGCGTGATTTGAGTGACAGTTTTCTGGATCTTCTGGCCGTATTCAGCTACTCCATCTATCCATTTTTTCCCGGGTCTTCCTCTAGCCTTTCTTCCCGATGTTCTACTGTAAAAGGCCTTATAGGCAATCTGATCTGGTTGAATTCTTACTAAATGGCCAAACCACTTCATTCTCTGTCTTTCAATATGTTCCATGCATGCTCTTGTTCCAACTTTGTCTCTAATGCTGACGTTTGTGACTATGTCTCTTCGTGTATTGTTGGTGACTCTTCGGAGACATCGCATTTCACACGTAGTAATTTTTTGCATATGTGATTTGTTCATTGTCCACGCTTGGCACTGATAACATAACGTAGGGATGAAAATGCTGTTGATCATCCGTTGTTTGGCTGGTAACGAGATCTTTGGATGACGAAGAAGTGGGGCCAGTTGGTAGTTGACTGCATTGGCTTTTTGAACTCTAGCTTGTATCTCTTTATCAAGTCTTCCATCTTCTGTAAATATGCATCCTAAGTACTTGAATTCTTGAACTTGTTCTAATTGTATGTCATTGATCTTTATGTTTACATTACTGTGTTTCTTTCCTATGGTCATTACTTCAGTTTTTGAGGTGTTTATTTTCATGTCAAATTTTGTACAGTTAGTGAGCAATGAATCAACATGTTGTTGTAATTTTTGTTCTTTTTCTTGTAACAAACATTGGTCATCTGCAAAGAGTAGTTCATTTATAAAATCTGTGTTTTGGTTTGACTCCTGTGCAATTTTATAAGTAACAATAATAATTGGCGATTTCAACGCAAAAGTTGGAAGTGAAAATAAATGTGGAGTAACTAGTGACTGTGGCATAGGAGGAACGAATTAGAGAGGTAAAAGATTAATAATAGCTTGGGCAGAGTCACAATACATGATAATTGGTAACATTTGGTCTAGACAGTACTAGACACCATCCTTGTCGATCGTGGGCTTCGAAAAGTCCTGGCAATAATGCCTGCAATCAGACTGATTATACTGGCGAATCAGCCATATGGATCAGCATCTGAGACAACAGATCACGTCTCCCAAGACTGTCCCAAATTGCAACATATCAAGGCACAACTTTTGGCCAAGAGAAACTCCGGTGCAAGCCAAACTTTAGGGGTCGCTGATTGAATTACAAAAGACAGTAAAGGTCATACTGGAGGCAACATTGCAGATATGGCTAATCTATTTTAAGAAAACCAAAGAAGAAGAAGAAACCTAATTATATATTGATTTCGAAAGGATTCAGGAGAAGTTTAATTGGAGCAAAGACTAGACCAGGCGCAGACTGCTATAGTGACCATGTTCCAGTTATAGGAAAGTTTAAAATAAAACTAAAGACTATCAAGAAGAACCCACAGAACATCAAACTGAATTTAGGAATGCTTAAACAGGAAATCAGAAATTAAGGAATAATACAGTGTCACGGTGCAAAACAGATATAACGCTTTGAAAATAATACAGACTGTTGACGAGCAAGGAGATTTGTTGCGCGAGTCAATTCAGCAGACATCAAAAGAGCTTATTCCTCTAGCAAATAATAAATGGATGAAATTTTGCAGATGATGGATGAGAAAGGAAAAAAAAAAAAAAACAATGATTAAGAAGAATATTCTAGTAGACATAAAGAAATATGTAACAGATGCAAAGAGGCTTAAGAAACCTGGCTAAATCAGATGTGCACAGAGATTGGACAAATCGCGGCGAAGACTCACATTCCATGCACCATGAAAAGTAAATTGACAGGAAAGAAAAGAAATAACATCAATGGGTGTTCAAAATCGAAAAAAAAAAAAAGTTAAATATCAATAGGGCAAGGTGATAAAATAAAAAGATGGACAGAGTACTTGGGGGATCTGTGTGACGATAATAGACCAGAAGTATATTTGCAGGACAACAACGAAGGCCTATCGATACTGGCTTCAGAAGTTGAGATGCATTGCATCACACGAAGAAAGGAAAGGCACCGTTGGCCAGACATCATATTGGAAGAAATTGAAGCTTTGGGATATTTTGAA